ACCTGTTTTTTGTCTAAACTTACATGTCCGTGTGTTATGACTTTGCTCACCATATAATGAGCATTTACAAATTTGACCAAATCTCATCACCTTCTTGCCCTGCTCCTTTGTTTGCTGTATCTCATCGACAGATTTTCTCCTCTGTTTCTTTGGTCTTCCTGGTGCTCTTCCATAATTTGGTGGCAAGGGTACCAGAACATCGACATCTTCCCACTCATTCTTTCCATTCACAGGTAAAATGCAAGGGTCATAACACTTAAGATACGTTTCAACACTATAACAGTCATCAATGTACAGCATACGGTCCTTCATAGCAATCCACAAAGCTGAAATTGTTGTCATTTATGACACTTGAAATGGCTGTCCAACGATTTGGCAATCAGCAGTCCACAGACTTCCCAACTTGGTTTATTACTGCTGGTCCTAGTTTTCAATAAGCTTCCTGATTCAATTATTGATTGTGGTACTTTAGATAATATTATCTCAAAATAGCTTGTTGAAAAATTAAAATTGCTTACTGAGAAACACTTTAAGCTATAGAAAATTGGTTGGATAAAAAAAAGTAGAGTCAATTAAGGCGGTTGAGTGTTGTAGAGTGCCTTTTACTATTAGCAAGCATTAACATCTATAGGTTTCTAAAGGTCAACAAAAGGATTAATTTGATCCTTATGAAATAAAGTGAGCATCCTAAACCCGTGGATAAGGTCAATATAGTAGTAAGAAAATTTTTACTATTGCTAGTTTAGAGTCAAATTTTATTGCAGATGTCAAGGAATCTAGGAGATGCATACCATAGTAGGGCTGCAAACGAGCCAAGCCGAGTCGAGTTTTGGCCTTATCGAGTCGAGTCTTGACTTAATTTCATCGAACTCGAACTCAACGAGCTGGTAATTTTCAAGCTCGAGCTCGAGCTTGACTCGATTCGAGCCGAGCTCGAGCTCGAAAAAAATAAAAAATAATTATTTTATTTTTAAAAAAATAAATAAAATAATATTTTTTCTTAATAAATAATAAAATATTAAGGATATTTATATAATTTTACTATTAAAAATAAAAATTAAAAAAATAAATATATATATATACTCGAGCTCGCGAGCCGGTTCGCGAGCTAACGAGCTTAATGTTTTGAGCTCGAGCTCGACTCTGGCTCGACCAGCTCGAGCTCGAGTCGAGCTTGAATCGAGCGGCTCGCGAGCGGCTCGATTCATTTGCACCTCTATGCCGTAGCATTAAAAGGAGTTTGAAGTACTAAGTTAAAATCTAAAATTTTAGCGAAATTTCAATAGGTGCTGAACAAATTTAAAGATTTTATCCCGGATGAACTTCCAGCTGGACTACCCCTCATGCCAGAACTTCAGCGTGCCATTGATCTGGTTCCTAGGCTATGTTTGCCGAATCTGCCACATTATCAAAGAAATCCCAAGAAGTGTGAAATTTTGTAGCAGATAGTGGATGATTTGCTAGAGAAAATGTCCAACCACCTGAGCAAATGTTGTGCTAGCTCTATTGACTCTCAAAAAGAATGGTTTATAATGGATGTGTGTTGATAGTTGAGCTATTAACAAGCTTACTGTGCATTATCAATTTCCTACTCCCAGATTAGAGGACATGTTAGACTGCTTGTCTAGAGCTCGTGTATATACCAAGATTGATCGAAGGGTGGATACCATTAGATATGTATCCAACCAGGAGATGAATAAAAAATTACATTGTAGACCAAGGAAGGCTTGCATGAGTGGTCGATGATGCCTTTGGGCTAGCCAATGCACTAATACATTCATGGAATTGATGAATGAGGTTTTGAAACCTATTATTGGCAAATTTTGTCTTGTGTATTTTCATGATATATTAATTTATAGTGTTAACGAAGAGGAGCATTTGAGCCAAGTGCTGAAAGTTTTGTAGGAAAATAAATTAGATATCAATTTGAAGAAGTATGATTGCTTGATAGCAATCTTGGTCTTCTTAGGCTTCGTTGTTAGTATGGAAGGTATTGGTGTAGATGAAAGAAGGGCGAAGGCTATTCAGAAATGGCCTACTCCTCATACTGTGATAGATGTTCATAGCTTCCATGACCTAGCAACCTTTTATAGATGTTTTATCCACAATTTTAGCTCTATTGTGGTCCCTTTGACGAATTGCATAAAGAAGGAAATTTTCAGTGATGTCCTATGTAGGAGCAGAGTTTCAGGTTGATTAAAAAGAAGTTTACCATTGCACTGCGTCTAGTTCTCTCAAGTTTTGAGAAGTTGTTCATAGTGGAGTGTGATGCACGCGATGTTGGGATTTGAGCTATTTTGTCTCAAGAAAGGAGGCTAATGGATTTCTTTAGTAAGAAGTTAAGCGAAGTTCGTCAAAAGTTTTTGAGGCATTGGAAGCATTACTTGATCTTGAATTAGTTTGTTTTATATGCTGATCACCAAACCTTGAAGTACATCAACAATCAGAAGCAAATTAGCAAGATACATATTTATTAGGTAGCATATCTTCAATGATTTTCCATTATTTTGAAGCACAAGACTGGGTAACAAAATAAGATGGTGGATGCTTTGAGTAGACGAGCGACCTTGATGGTGACCATGAGCCATAAGGTCATCGGGTTTGAAGTTCTCTGGGAACTCCACGTTGATGATGATGACTTCAAGGAGGTGTAGTTTGCATGTCAGACCGAAGCAACATGGGATGACTTTCATATCTTTGATGGTTATCTCTTTCAAGGTAATCGTCTTTGCATTCCCTGTTTCTTTGTGTAAAAAGTTAATTCGTGTTTGCATTATAGAGGTCTTAGTGGACTTTTAGGTGTTGACAAGACTATCTCTAGTCTTGAAGCATATTATATTGGTCTCAATTAAAGAGGGATGTATGTGGGTTTGTTCGTAAATGCTACACTTGTTAGGTAGAAAAAAGTCAATCACAAAATACTTGGTTATATACACATTTACCAGTTCCTAAAGGCACATGGGAAGATTTGTTCATGGATTTTGTGCTTGGACTGTTTAGACTCAAAGAGAAATGGATTCGGTATTTGTGGTGGTGGATAGGTTTTCAAAGATGGTACACTTCATTCCATATAGTAAGACTTTGGATGCTTCATACATTGCTTGTTTGTTCTTTTATTAAGTTGTTCACTTGTTTGGACTGCCTAAATCCATTACATTCTGACTATGATACCAAGCTCTCGGGCCATTTCTAACTATGTGAAAGATGTTTGGCATATCGTTGAACTTTAGCAGCATTGTTCAGCCTAAAATAGATGATCAAAAAGAAGTTGTCAATTGATCTTTTAAGGAATTCAGTGCATTGCATATGTGGAGAGCGACCTAAATAGTGGGATCATGCTCTTTCCTAGGCTGAGTTTGCTTTTAATAGCGCAATTGATGGCTCCATTGGTTGGTTTCTATTCTCTATTATATATGTTCAACCTCCTAGACATGCATTAGATTTGGTGCAGCTTCTAAATGTTTCAAGTTATAGCATTGCCACGAGGAATCTGGTTAAGGATTCGCAAGCTATACAAGTAGAGGCGAAAGTGAAATTGGAGGCAACTAATGCTAAATTCAAAGCTTCTGCAGGTAAACATTGTCATGCTATAGTATTTGAAGTAGGTAATGAGGTGACAGTTCTTCTGCATAAGGAGAGGTTTTCTATTGGCAAATATTACAAGCTACAACCAATGAAGCATGGACGTTACAAGATTCTTCAACGAATCAATCCTAATGCTTATGTGGTTGATTTGCTAAGTTGTATGGGTATTTCACGTACATTTAATGTCTCAGGCCTTTATTTCTATCCCCCTTCAGAGCAGCCTTTATATCTAGATTTCCAAGACAACTCGAGGGCAAGGTCTTCTTAAATGGAAGAGACTAATGTAGAGCATGTTGCACATGACTTCTTGGACAAGAGGAACTGAACAAAGGAAGGCATGGCTGAGCGATGCGAGACAAACTTAAGAAGAAATCTAACGCCAAGTTTGGCCTCATGACTGACACTGGACATCCTATTGATGAACTTCAGAAAATTTCCAGCGTGAAGACCAGCATCATCACTGGTGCCAGACATTATTGCGAATGGGTTGTTTTGTGCTTTGTTTTTCCATTTTCAGTTGTAATTCGTTTCCTTTTTCAATTAGAATTTGTTACCTATATATAGGCATACTAGGGCTATTGTTGTTTGATTTTTATCAACTTTTATCAAGTTATCTAGGTTTTTACTAAATTCTCTCAAGCTTCTTGAGAAACAAGGTTCTTTCAAATCGTTCCGAAAGTTGATCGTGAATCACTCCTCTGTTATTTTTGGGAATCGTTCGTGAAACAACTTCTTCCTACGGCTCCCGTGTCAAATTGCACCTAGTGCCAAACATTAGGACCGAATTTATTTTTGTTAAAACTTTAGGTATTAAAACTGAACGAGTGATAGGTAACTTGTGACATGCTTGATGATTATTTGGTTTTCATCAGCAAGTGCATTCTTGATATGCATCACAATTGCTAGGTGGTTTTCAACACTACTGGAGTTGTAGCTGTAGTTAGTTTTCTTGACCAAACACACAATGCAAATTTCACCTTTCTATTTTTCTGCGTTTTTTGTTATTATAGTCAAACTAAAAGGATTATAGACCTGTGCAATATTGTCAGGAAAAGTGTAAGGAAGTAAATCTAGCAAATCTTGTCAGCGCAAGTGCTATGGAACATCAAGATTTGTTGATTTTGAACTTCAAACTTAGAGGTACCTAAATACAACAACACCATCCAAAGAAACTAGTCTCCTTTCATGTTTTAGAAACCACAGTTTTCATCAACAACAAAACTTCAACTGAGAATACATCAGGTATAAAAGCAAAAGAAATAGCTCATTCTGAAAATCTAATCTGTTCCAAAAGGCCTAACAAGGCGTCCGATACATCTACATGATGATTGAACAAAACTTACATCACCTCTAGTGGCTAAATCACTAATACGTTTTGTTTCAAGATCATGAAGAACAAGCTTTACTCCATCAATCTACAAAAGTAATTGCCTCTTGTTCTTTGATAAAGCTAGAGGCGTCAAGTTCCAAAATGTCCAACCAGTAATTGTAACTGAAGTTAACTTGGTCCAAGATTTTTCCACTCCATCATCTTCCATCACCCAGATATCAGCACCAAATCCTCCACCTACGTCATAGTACAATACTAAACAAAGGGATCCATTCAAGACCATCAAGTTATGCTGAAAATAACCTAGTGGCCATGGTATCATTGGACAAGGCATTTTCTGAAATTCTTCATTGCTAAGATCAAAGGAAATGATGTAGATAACGCCATTCAATCACCTTTCCCTCATGAACCAGTGTAATGCACCATCAGCAAGGACACAATCTAGGGCACAGTAATAGTGGTAGTTCGACTGTTTAAATGGAAAATGCTTCATCCTTCTCCATGAGTTCTGCTTTGAGCTATAAACGTAGACTTCATCATACCAACTCGATTGATCTCTATCACATAGATCTGAAAACCTAATCCTATTCAAAACTTTGTACTCATCATTCACATGGTCATACCCGAATCCAAGATGAAAAATAGCTCTACCACGGGTGTGATATTCAATTGGGAAGAGGGTAATTCCCAAGACTTTTGAGTCCATGGGTTCCACAAAATAATTTTGTCTGTGTCTGGATACATCAGACAAAGAAGTCCATTGCAAGAGCCTTTCAAACAAACTTCGCTTCGAGAGTAATCCGAAGGGCAGTTGAGCTGTTTGGCACTTGCAGTAATACTGGAGCTATCAGCTTCAAGATCCAAAACCAAAGTGTAAAAGTTGTTCTGGTTCAGGCCAATAATTTTGATCCCACTGGGGAAATTTGCTACTTGGTAGGCTATATTGGGATGTATTTTGATGAAATCTGAGCTATCAATTAAAGCACGACATGATTTTGAAACGCGCCTGGGTTGTAGCAGAGAATCAAATGGTAACCTCAAAAGTACATTTGCAAGCAAATGATTTGGAATGTAATCTAGGTGCAGATATCTTTTTTAATTATGAGCATTAATTTCAAACATAGATTAATCTTTCTTACACTAACAGTGTATACAGTGTTGTCGTTGGATTCATAATATGTGTACAATAGTTGAATTTCAAATTCAAATTTTGTATAATTATCATTCATCCAACGCTGATAGTATATATAAGATTTACTTTTCAAACATTACCTAAAAAAACATTAATATCTATTTATGCAAGTCTCCTAATAAACAAACTCTTAGTTTTCTTACCTTAGTTAAGGTAAGGAAAACACTACAAATTGGAAATTACGGACAAATAAAAGAAAATTCAGCCATGTTTAGAATTTTATGTATACATGATTGACTTAAGTTGTAGCCAAAAGCCAACCTCTAAACCAACGACGACTTTTGTTGCCTGATCAAGCAAGCATCGGATTTTTCCCAAGTTCGTTCAACTCATCTCAAACATCCACCCTTTAATTTCCAAAACTCCAATGTTTGAAGGCAAGACTATTTTTTTTCCCTTTGCAGTTCCTTTACATTTTAATTCATAATCATTAATTATTTAGACACTTATCTTAAGTTTGTGGTATAGAAATTTTATTTTGATGATTATTAATTTGTCAATTGTTCTTATTCTAAATTTGTATCTTAGAACTTTTATTTTAATTTGCATATGATTAATGTGTTTTTATTAAATTTAGTTAATGTTTATCTGATTTTGTTCTGTGAGTTGATTTTCATGTTTTGCTTTAGACTTTGTCTTTTATTTATTATTTATCATATATTAAACTATAATTGTAAGACTTTGATTTCAAGTTAGCATACATCATTTGTTGTGATTTTTTTTTTTTGTTATACATTGTTTGATTGTTCACCCCCTAAGCTAGGGGTGAAATCGAGCCGAGTCGAGCTCGAGTAGTGACATACTCGAGCTCGAACTCGATGCTGACTTCCAGAGCTCGAGCTCGAGAAATAAAAATCGAACTCGACTCGATAGTAACATAAATAGGCTCGAACTCGACTCGATTGAGCTCGGCGTGCCATTCGAGCTCGAGCTCGAGTACTCGAATCCTCGAGCTCGATTTCATCCTGCACCCTTAACACGAGCTCAATATTGAGTCGAGTACTCGACTCGAGCTCGAGTACTTGAGCTCGATTTGATCATGCACCCCTAATCGAGCTACTCGACGAGCTAAAAATACCTCATCCTAGCTACTTGAGATCGACTCGTTTCATATACTCGAGCTACTTGAGCTAGACTCGAGATCGAACAAAATCGATCTCGAATCGAGTAGCTAATCAAGTTACTCGCGAGCTTGATTCAAGCTACTCGATTGGTGTGCACCCCTACCCTAAGCTAAACTCCTGCGCCTGTCCCTGATATAGTGCATCTTTTTTGCACACACTGAATTGAATTTTACATGGTCGGTGTCTTTTCTATAATGCAATAATGGTGATCATTTTGGTAATCAAAGATATCATATACAAGCATTTATTAACATTTCGTTCAAGCTAAAGAATGAGTAACTTGAAAATGTGTAACTTCTGATCACTCAAAATCCAATTGCAAAGAAGACTCTATCATCACATGCGAAACTTACTTCTTTTTTTTTCATAACGGATACCAATAGATTTGTAGAAACACAATTTGAAGAAATTTAATTTTTTTTATGTGAGTGAAAATTGGGAAACTCAATGCTTACTGTTCCTTCATATTTTTGGAGATTTTCGTTTTATTGCTGGACCCATTTTCGTAATGTTGAAACGAAAAGTCACTGCTTGGACCCATTTTATATCTTTGGAGATTCATTACTCTTCCTCTATTGCAAATAACTTTTTATTGTAGAATGGAGCAGCTTTTCCTCTCTCTCTCTCTCTCTCTCCTTACCTTCAATCATTCTTGAGGAGGGTTCCACGGAAAACAAATATTTGAAAAAAAAGTGTTGGTTCAATTAGGAATGCCCATCTGGTAATAGTGGACTAGTGGAGCACCAGCCCGTTATCCTTCCACTGCAAGGAGCGGGAAGTTCTCGTTGCTCTGTCAAACCAGCCTCACGCAGTGCCCTCCACTTTAGGAGCCAAGCGGTCTCAGCCTCCGCCAAGACCGCATGACCCAGCTCTTCGCTTGGAATGGGCGAGCCAGTGAATAGCCCCTACCAGTCCTACCATCCGGACCAATCCAACGTTCCAACACATTAATGCCCCTGCTCAGGTTACAAGCTCGCGCTACCAAGCTCGGCGTCAAACAGCCTTGAGGAAGTTGCTTATAAAGCACTAGTACGCATATCAATTCTTCGATGTGGGACAAATTCGTTTCCATTTCCATTCAGGAGTTCTGTGTGTTTTTATAAAGAAACCTGGAAAAATTGACAGATTCGTTTTCTTAAAAACACCCGTCTTGATATGGGACACACTTCAATGGAAGCATTAGTGTCAAATTGGGTAATCCAAATGGTGAAAGGTGTAAATGTCTATGGAGAATCTCAAATGAGAATTTTAGGCATACTTTTACTTTTCGTGAAAGCAACTGTCATTCTGACTTTCTTTCTGGATTTCCTGTCTCTATAGGCACCTCATCATTGTCAAATTTTACCTACAAAACTTGCAACATGGTGGACGAATGTAAGAATGGTAGATTACTTAACTAATGTAATATTTACACCTTTATTGATGCAGGCTCACAACCTCTCAGAAAGATTACAAAAAGAGAAGAGGAACAACCATATCAAAGAATAACACCAGCTGATTATACCAGATTCTAATTATTGAGGCACACCAAATTTGCAAGCAGTGATGCTTCAGAATGACCATTGAACATTGTGAAATGAAACCTTTTCATGTACAACAAAATGTTAATTATCGCTGAAAAACTAAATCCCAAACATTTGACTATGCAGAAAATTTTTGTGAAAATTGGCATTTTAGCTATTGTGCCAAGTCCAGCACTAATCGTAAGTCTGACCAACACTTTCTGTTTCATGCTTCTATTGCTTAATCATACTGCACAAAACACGGGAAAGCTCTTCCAGTGGTATGCTATTATTTTGAAGCAATATTGCAGTCTTAAAGCCCTTAGCAAGTTTATGTTATTTATTCTAAAATCCATATTGCTCGATTAGATTAAAGCAGAAGAATGCTATTTCTTTCCTTTTTGGATCAATCCAGTGAACTAGGAAGATGGCATTTGACCTCAAGCTTTAAATTGGCTTATACTTTTTGTAAATGAAAGTGAATTTGTGTTTTAAATTATGTTTCTATACATCTTTAGATATTTTTCCTCGAAATATAACAATAAGTATATAGAAATGAATCCCTATGCATATAAGTATGCCTTCCAATATCTATAGGATTCCTTGGGGTATCTTAGGCTTGCAATTTAACCAAGGTAATCAACTCGAACTCGCGAGTAGCTCGGTTAACTACTTAACTCAACTTTGGCGTTGATCAAGTTCAAGTGGCACAAATTTGAGCTACTCGAAAATGCTTACGAGTCAAGCTTGATAAGATGCAAAATTGTCATTTAAATTGTGATTATTTTCCCTTTTATCTTAGCCAAATATTGTTTTAATCGTCCGATTCTACTAATATTTGGTTAATTGTGCTAATTGTAGGGAATTATGTGAGACGTGATCAAAAGGAGCAATTTTCCAGCATTCTAAGAGTTAATTTGATGGAGGCGCGTTCAGAGCCTATTTCCAAGTCCAAGTCGAATTCATTTTTTGAAGGAAGATTTTGAAGACTTTAATTTTCATTATTAGTTCTAGTATTGGATTAGGGAACTTGGAATATTATTTTAGTAGTTACCTTTTCCTATTTAAGAAACATGTGGTGTTATTGGTAGTAGAGACCGAAAAGGAAACAAAAAGAAAAAGCAAAGGACGGACCGTTTGATTAATAGTTTCGCCAGCAACAATTTCGGGGGTAATTCTTTGAAGTAGGGGTGTGCAAAATCGAAAATATCTGATTTACCGACAGAATTCAATTTGAATTCAGAATTTTCGAAATCGGTAATTCGAAATTCGGCACTGAAATCGGAATTTCAAATTTCGAATTATGCGAATTTGGTAATGGAGTTTTTGAAATCGGAATTTCCGATTTCAATTTCGTTTTATAATATATATATATATTAATATTTATTTATTTATATATAATAATATATTTTATTTCAATTTCATTTTATAATATGTATATTAATATATATTTATATATATAATAATATTTTTTATAATATATTTGTATATAATAATATTTTTTATAATATATGCAATATAAAATTTATATTATATAACAATACATCTAACAAAAAAGAAAAAAAAAGCAAAAAAGGTTTCCGAATTTAGTGAATTCGGAATTTACCGAATTCCGAATTGAATTCAGAATCGAAATCGAAATCGGAACTAGTGAATTTGAAATCAAAATCGAAGGGTAATTCCTATGCCAAAATTCCAAAAAATTCTGAATTCAAACTTCCAAATTACCGAATTCGAATTTGATGCACACCCCTACTTTGAAGTACAATACACGGCCGTCACTTGCTTTGGCTCTTCTTCTGGCCTTCTCGTTAGTTTTACAGGAAAAGTCATACACAATTGTTATCAATGGAGTCCTGCGCATTTTCCTTGAGAATACATAGCTAAA